TTTACTTTAAGACTTTAATTCTGAAACTAAATGTTACAAATTTACTTGAAATAAATATACATTTGCTTATTTCTTAAAAAAAATCACTGGCAATAAAATATTTGTGAATCAAAACCTAAATGAGATACCTACTCACTCCTGTACCACTGGCAAAGTTTAATAGGACAGCAAGCAATAAATGTTGGAGAGGATATGGAGACATTGGAACTCTCATACACTGCAAAATGGTACAACCACTCTAGAAGGCAGCTTTGCATTTCTTCAAAAAGATAAATATAGAAAGTTCATATGACTCAGCTATTCCACTGCAAGGATATACTCAAAGGAAATTAAAACTGAGACACAAAGGGACATTTGTATGCCAATATTCATATCAGCATTATTCACAATTGCAAGAACATAAAAACAACTCAAATGTCTAATCTCAAAAAATAGTTCATAACTTGGGAATGACTGGAGAGCATTTTGCTGAGTGAACTCAGTCTCATAAAGACAAATATTGCATAAGACCATTATTGTAATAAATAGACAAAAAATTAATAAAAAGTGTATGGGGAAGGGGTGGGAGCAGAGATGTGAGTGTGGGAAGGAGGGACATCACAGGGGCACACAGTTTGATGGGTGGAGGGAATGGGTAAAGAAATGGGAAAGATCTGGCAGGGATCTGAATAGAAGAGGTAACGATGGGCATAGTTCAATGGGAGCTGATTTTATAAAACACAATATATGAGAATGACTGTATATAACACAATGTGAATGAAGGAAAACATGAAGCACAATGTATATGGACTTTGTATGCAAACTAATATAAAACAAAATAAAGGAAGGGACGTTTGATATGGGCATTAAGTATGGTAGAATTTGTTGTATGAGGAAGGGAGCCAAGAGAGAAAGGAAGGATATGCACAGCAAGACTTGGTTTGTATAGGGCAAACTAAGTATTTTATTTGATTCAGTAGCGTGTAAAGAACATTGTGAGGGATTAGTGTAAAAAGTTATGTGGAGTTAAATCACAGAGGACACAAACATTGATCAGGTTTTGGCAAAAGAGAGCCCTCCTTCACCTCTTCCCTCAGCCATCCTCTGCATGACTGGATTGCTTCCAAAAGTCATCACACAGGGCTTTAATGCCATGACCTTATTTAGATCAGACTTGACATCTAACACCTAACTCTCTCTTTTCTTCTCCAGCAAGTTTTCCTTCTAACCTTGACAGGAAGCATAGCCCCAGAACAGCCCTGAGCACCAAGTTCCCACTTTCGCAGATATTATCGAGAGTCTTGTGGTGTGGCAGCTTGCCAGGTGCCGATCAGATCACTTTAGCCAGGGGAGCCAGCTATGGGGGAGTTAATCTGACACATAGAATGAGCTGCAAAGCTCCCTCTCCAAAGGCAGTGCAAGGGCATCAGTGCTAAATTGTACCTGACATTTAATTCCAGCTTTGGGCAGTTTCGTGTGAAAGTTAACTTCAGTGAGACATTGATCAGCCCACAGCCTTTCATTACTTTTGACACAATCAATTTTCTCCAGTGGATTGGGCAATCATTAGCTGACTTACAGAAAGGCCTGGGTCACGCACAGCTTTCTACAGGCCTCGGAACTGCACGCCAGGAGGAAATGATGAAAAATTGCTGCTGGCAGTGACTGCTTCTTCTCTACAGAACACAACTAACAAGAGTCTAGGAGAGTAGACACACCTTCAATCTCATCACCTCAGAAATTGGTTGTTTGTAGTCAAAGGAGAGTTAAGGAAATCAAAGGTGGCCGAAACTGTTCCCTGAAGGTGTCTCTTATAACCATGCTTTATTGGCCCCAAATTTCCTTACCTTGCTTTCTCTATGTCTCCTTACTTACCGAGAATGGTCAAGAGATGGAAATGAAAACAAAACACCTGATAAGTGTGGGTTAATACAATCTATTGTGCTGTTTCCATCTGTTAAACAAACACTATTGGATTTTTAGAAATATAGTTTTAAGCCGCTAGTCTCACCCTTCCAAAGACCTGGTGAACTTCTCTCATAAAGATTACAGTCAAAGAAAGCCTATAGGAAAGTTCTACTTTGTGACATGGAGTGGTTGAGTCAAAAGCAACAACTTGAGGGCATCTATCAACTAGGTAGCTTTAGTAGCATAACTCATAAGGAGTTGTACTGTTAATCTAAAGGTGATGCCTTACTGGAGGTTCAAACCCACTGGTGGTCCAGCACTTTTGCAAAAGAAAGATGTACAATCCCCTCCTATGAGATTCATAGTCTCATGAAATCTGCTAGAGGGTCAACTGTGAATCGGTTCTGACTCAATGGCAATGAGAGAGAACAACAGTATATTAACAAAATATTTCACATATTTAGTTAGTAATTTGGGGATGACTGAATGCTGTTTATTCAATAATTTCAGCTTGCTTGGATCCACAATCAACACTCTTGGCACCAGCAGTCAAGAAATCAAGACTAATTGCACTGAGAAAAGTTGCTGTCAGGGACCTCTCAAAAGTAGTAAAGAGTAATGATGTCAGTCTAGAGACTAAGGTGTGCCTGATCCAAACCATGATCTTTGCCATTAATTGCTATTCACCAGACAGTTGGACAGTGACTAAGGATGATAGAAGAAGTATCAATGCATTTGAGTTGTGTTGCTGGGGAAGAGTATTGAACATACCGTGGACTGCCAGGAGAACAAACAGGTGTGTTCTAAAGAAGGTGAAATTAAGTTTCTCCTTGGAGACAAGGATTTTGAAGCTCCATCTCACAAACTTTAGGCATGTTGCAAGGAGGGACCAGTCCTTGGAGAGGGGCATTGTGTTTTAAAGAGTGAAGGGAAAGCGCAAGAAAGAAAGCTTCTGGAAAGATTAACTAGGTAGTAGGGAGAGGACAACGAAATTGTTTCAAGATAGAGCAGGATTCAAAGCTATTGTACATCGGGTTGCTATGCATCACAAGCAACTCAATGGCACATAACAACAATAAGAAGAACAACAATACTGGCTTGTAGAAAAAAAATTAAAATTTTAAAGTTTCTGAAAACAAATAATAATGAAAATACAACATACATACCAAAACATCGGGGATATAGTTAAGGCAGTCCTCAGGGATAATTCATAGCAATAAGCAAACACCAAAAAAGTAAAGAAGCAAAGTTAACAACCTAACTCAACAATTCTATTAAATAGAAAAAGAGCAACAATCTAACTCCATATCCTCCAGAAGAAAGGACAAGAGTTGAAATCAATGATATAGAAAACAGAAACAGACATGTCTTTGGCAAACTTAACAGCAGAATAAAAGTGAGGACAATAATCATGTAAATACTTGAATCAAGAGGCAGTCGTCAGAACAGAGCAAGGAAACACTGCATGGTTCAAAATTGGGAAGGGTGTACGCCAGGGATGTGTCCTGTCTCTATACCTTTTCAAACTAT